AATTTAATGTAAAAATAATAGGATCTTAATTTATTTAATTAGTAATAAATTATAAAATAAACTGAAGATTATTATTCTTTAGTAAGTAAAAAGCAAAAAAAAAGTAAAAAACATTATAAATTTTTTTATATATTTTTTTTTTTATATTTTTTTTTTTTAATAAACATCAAATATAAGATATCTTTTTAGCTAATAGTGATAACAGAGAAGACTTTGTTTTAAGAAATTATGTTTAAAATTCGTTAGTTCTAATAATTTTTTATATCAATATATATTTAATTCAATATATAAAATATAATTCATTTATTTATTTTATTTATTTATTAATTTATTTTTTTATTTATTCATTCATTTTTTTTTTATATATATTTTTTAAGTGAGTTTTCAGAATCTTTGTAATTTTAAAATAAAGAATATATTAATTATTATGAATTGGATAATGATAATCTATTTTAATTAAATCATAGAATGAGACGTGGAAGTTTCTTTTAATAATAAATTAAAGAACCTGAATAAATAAAAAATAGTCCACTTAAATAATACAAAAATAGGTTTGATGACAATAGTAATTTAAACTAAAATTATATACAACTTATTAGATGAAAAAAAAAAAATATTATAAAATAATTTTATTATAATATTTATATTATTTAACTATATTTAATTAATTTAATTTTAAAAATTAAATATATTATTAAAATCTCCATCTTTTTTTTTATAAGAATGATTTAACAAAAATAAAATATATATATATATATATATATATATTTTTAAAATAATTAAGTTAATTAATTTGTAATAATTTTTTAGTTTTTCTGTATTATTATTTATAAACAAAAAAAAATATATATTTATTAATTTTCTTATTAAATTAATCATTTTTTTTTTAAATTATACAACATAATTAAATATGCATTTTTTTTATTTAATTTTAAAATATAAAATATATTTATACTCCATAAAGAAAATAAAACAATAAAAAACAAACTAAAAGAAATAAAATTAATATTTAACAAAAATATATATATAAATTTATTATATTTTGATTACTTAATTTAAAATATATATTTTCAAAATAAAAATTCATACTTTAAAAGTTTAATTAAATATAAATATATTTAAAAATATTATTTCTATCTATAATTATATAATAATTAACATATAAATACCTATATATTTTTATTTAATCTAATATAATTTTTTTTATAATTTGTTTAAATTTAATTTAAATAATTTTTAAAGTTATGATTAAATTTTTATTTCATTTTAATTTTATATAAATTAAAAAATATTTCAATGGCTTTCTATTTATTTTAGTCTAATTATACATTTAATTTTTATAAAATTTACATTTTTATCCTTTAAAACTATTTTTGATTAATTATTAATTTTATCCAAATTTATTTCAATCATAGAAACAATTTACTTAATTATCTAAAGAGACAATTATAAGTCTATTTATTTCCTTATTTTTATAATTATTATTAGATAATTAAGAGTTATAGATATTATATTTCCTTATTAAATAATAAACTATTTAAACTGATTTTTTATTTTTATGTTTAAGTTTATATTTATTTTATGCTAATTATTATTATACTTGTTTGTTTAAAAGTTTTAAATATTATTTTAATAACTAAGCTTGTATTTTTTTTAACTTTAATTTCTTTAGATTTCTAAATAATCACTAGCAATATTTTTAAATTTATGTAATATGTAATATTTTTAAAGTTTACATAGAACTTAAATTTTAATATTTTTATGTTTACACTACACTACATTGTGTTTTAATTTATCATTTTTAATGTTAAGAAAATTCTTGTTTATTATATATTTTATTATGAAATCTTTTAAATTTAATATTACTTTATTTTATTATTTCTTTTCTGTATAAAATCGTTATTATTATTATAAAATATTCATGTTTTGTAAAAATTATAAGGTTTATTTGATATTTTGTGTGAAAAGTTATTTAATTGATATTCATTAATGTTATTTATTGATATATTTGTTAAATATTTTAACCCTTTTTACTATAAATTAGGAAAAATTATTTCTATTTGGTGAACTAATTTAGGCTTAATATTTCTTTTACAAAAGAACTTAAGTCTTTGAAGTAATTATGATTATTTGTATATTTTATTGAATAATTTTATATAGGAGATTAAAATAATATTTTGAATAATTTTCTTGTTTATTTGTATTTTTTTGACTAAAGTCATATATAATAAATTTGAAGATTTTTAAAAAAATTTTTATTAAAATTATTCATATTTTTAGTCTATTTCTTTAATAATTAATATTTATATTATAATTATTATTTTTATTTTATTATAAGAAATATTTTTTGGCGTCAGGGTAAATCTAATTATCTATATTTTAATTTTTTTTGGAGAGGTACAAAAAAAAAAATTATATTTATATATTTAAAAATAAGTATTATCAATAAAATGTTAATGAAAAAATATGCAATATTTATTTTATTATAAAATAAGAAATATTTAATTAAATTTTTTTTTTCTTCATATATTTGTTAAATATTTAAATTATTATTTTTATAGCATTTTGTTTATTATTAATATATGTATTTTTTTTAATTTATTAAAAATAAATTATAAATAAATATGAAATTATATATATTATTTAATTCATAAAAAAAAATTATGAATCAATATGAAAATATTATATATACATTATAAAAATGATTTTCGTTATTTTTTTTAATTATATTTTTTTCATTGGATAAATAAAATTTTATAATTTTTGGTTTTAAAAAAATAAAAAATACATATATAAAATATATAAAATGAGTACGGAAATACAAAAAATAATCCTAAATAAAAAGGAACAAATAATGTCTTAAAAAAAATAAGAAAATAAAAAGAAATTATACAAATCTTTTAATGATAAAAGCTAATTACCTTTATTTGAAAATTCAATTTTTAATAAATTAATCAAATAAACCTAACAAAATAAATAGTAATTTTCTTTTATTTAAAAAACAATTGAAAATAAATAAAATCAATCACATTAATTTTACACGTAATTCAATTAATTTTTTTAACCAAAAAATAAAAATAATTCGCTAAAATTTAATAATTTTATATCCGAAAATTCGAATATTTTAGAAAATTAAACCACTTTTTGTACTTCAAATTTGCCTAATACTATTTAAATTTCTGATATATTCCATTAAAGGACTAATTCTTAATAAGGTTAATAAAAAATTGATAAAAACTTCAAAATTTTTAATTTTTAATCTATTAGAAAAACATCATAAGATATTTAATAAAATGATATTCAATATAAAAAAAAGAATCATATTATAAAAAAAATCAGTTAAAATGAAAAATAAAAAAAAATATTTAATTAAAATTTCCTTTATAAATTCAAAAAATATGAGAATATTTTGAATATTAAAAAAAAAAATATTTAAGAAGATCAAAAAGAAATGTTTTACAATTTATTTGATTAAATGTAATAAGAAAAAAAATAATTTATTCTAGAAATAATAGATATAAATTAAAGAAATCAAATATATCAATAGGCTTTTGAAAAATTATCCTAAATTATCAAAATTAAAGAAATATAATTACTTATTCTAAATCTGATTTTTTTGGCAAAAAGTTCATTTTTAATTGGAGAATTAGACAAATCGTTTTTTTTCTTGTTTTAAGCTAGAATAATTGCACATTTTTCTAAAAAAGTTAACTTTATGAAGTGCAAAATATATATATATATGGGAAATATTTGTATAAAAATAAATAAATATTAAGAGGCTTTATAATTTTATAAAAAGGCTTTAGAATATTCATGGTATTATAGTTTAGAAAATTAAGAAATTATATGTTATGATAAAATTGGATTATGTTATTTTTATTTATAAGACTCAAAACTTAGTTACTATTTTCACTAAAGGGCTTTTTCATTTTAAAAAGAAGGAAAAAATGTACATATAAGAAATATTTCTTATGAAAAAATTACTGAGTTAATATAAAAAGTTAAAAAAAAAATAAAAAAAAATTAAGTGAATAAAAGGACAAAAAATGTTAATTTTTTTAGTCCTTTTTTTTTTTTTCAATTAAAAAAAATATTTTTTTCTTTTTTTTAAAAAAAATCAAATTATATTAGAATGAGTTTGATTTTGATAATATAAATTCTATGTTGATTTTATTGACTTAACTTCCTGTTTTTTACTAATTAGATAAGTTATAAAAAGAAATGAGATAAAATTAAATTCTTTAAGAAATGAAAATGAGAAAAATTAAATAGTTTTCTTTATAAAACTAAATGGATCATTTTGAAAAAGAATACAATTTGAAATAATAATTAGACATTGATTTAAAACTTAGACTTTTTTAAAGTTCTTCATATGAAAATTTAATAAAAATACTTTTCCAAGAATAAGAATTTAGCTTTGAAATCGAAAATCCTTCGTAGTTATTAAATAATTTGAATGAAAAATAAATAAAAGGGAAATGGTAGCCGCCTTTTATTAAATAATATTCTATCATATAAGAATAAGGAATAATAAAAAATACAAATAAAAAAAAAATTGTTTTTGAAGATATGAAAAAGTATAAGTTAAGCCTTGAATAGAAAATTTAAATATTAAGTAAATAGGAAACAAATTTAGAAAATATAATGGATAGGATTAAATATAATGTTTTAAGTAAAAAGGAGACTTTAGGATAATAGATGAGATAAAAAGTTTATTTGTAACACTAAAGCAACTAAAGAAAAAGCCCCGAAAATATATTTCTTTTAATAAAAAAATTAGATTAAGTTTATTAGAAATTTTTAAATGTTTTATAATATTATTCCATATGAAATTATTTTTTTATATAATGTTTTATTGAATATTATGAGTGTATGTATATTTTAAATAAATTTTATTTATTATAAATATATATATATATATATATATATATATATATATATATATAATCAACATATCATATTAGCTTTTTAATTTTTAAAATAAAATATAAATAAAAAAAATGAAAGGAACAATATAAATAAAACCAATAACAGCAAAACTAACAAGAGATACAGATTATTTTGATAAAATGGTAAATAAAAAATATTTAATGTTATATCAGTTTAAAATATAAAAATAATTAAAGGATCCATATGTAATAGTAAAATTAGGTTCAACTAAATGGAAATCAGAAGTGGCTTACGAATAAGGAAAAAATCCTAGTTGGTAAAAATCAGAAACTTGCATTAGGAAAAATAATGAAACAATAATTGAAAGTATAAAAAAAATATTATATATAATATATAAATATTTCTTTAAAAAATTAATTTATATGCAAATTTTTTTAAAAAAAATGAATAAAAATGATTATAAATAAATATGATTATTTACTTTATTATTTTATAAAATGGTAGATTTATAATATTATAAAATTATAAAAAAATATTTAACATTTTTTATTTGATATAGTATTTAAAAATTAATATATATATATAATAACTATATATTTATATTATATACTTTAAATAAAATATTTTTAACTAAAAAAGTTGAAGTTTGGGATAAAGATACTTTATCATAAGATGATATTATAGGAGCTGGTTCAATAGCTATAAATGAAATTGAAAGAAAATAATAATTAACAGGTTATATATAAAAATATATATAAATATATATATATATATATATATATATATATTTATCTATATTAATCTATATTTTTTATTTTATATATATTTATATATTTTTATATATATTTAAACATATATAGATATGTTTTTTTATTTTAATAAATAGAATGGGTAAATTTAAACCATAAAGGTAAATGTGCAGGAAAAATATTAATTGATTTTAAATTTATACCTGATGCAATTAATAATAACTTAAATCCAATTAATGTTTTAAATCCCAATCTTTCTTAATAACTACCATATAACATAAATAATGGTATATAACCTTTATATCCTTTTCCCTAATATAATTAGTAAAACAATTATCCTTCTTTATAATAAAATCCTCCCTAGTAATTTTGTTTTCGACCTTAATAAGGATATCCTCCTTAATAATGTTTCAATTTTTAATAAGATTAACTTCCTCAATAAATTTATATTCCTTAACAAGGTTATTCTCCTTTATAGTCTTTTCCTCCTCAATAAAGTTTAACTCCCTAATAAGCATATCTCCCTTAATAAGCATATCCTCCTTAATTTAGTTATCCATAACAATAAGTATATCCTCCTCAATAAGTTCATCTTCAATAGGGATATCCTCCGTAATAAGGATATCCTGTCTAATAAGGATATCCTGCCTAACAAGGATATCCTCCTTAATAAGGATATCCTCCGTAATAAGGATATCCTCCTTAATAAGGATATCCTCCTTAATAAGGATATCCTCCTTAGTAAGGATATCCTCCTTAGTAAAGATATCCTCTTTAATAATGATATAGGCCTTACAGAGATATTCTAGCTATCAAGTTTATCAATAATGACCTTATCCAGAATTAAATTGAAATATTAAAATTAATTATTTTAATTAATAAATAATCATTAGATTAATAATTTAAATATATATCTATATATTGATTCATTTTTTATAAAACTTTAAATTTCTTATAATAAAAAGCAAATTTGTTTATTACAAATCTTAAAAATATCAAATAAAATATAATAATTTTAAAATTATTAATTTTTTTTTAAAAAAAAAACATGAATAAACAGTAACAATAAGAAGAAAAACAAATTTTTTAATAATACTTAAGTGATGAAATCGATATTAATACAAATACATTATCAAGTTAGGAGAACTCTCCTAATAATAATAAAGAATATAAATAAAATGTAATTTTAAAAAACACAAAGTTAAGCCAATACTTAAGAATTCAAAATATAAATAAAAAATAAAAGTATATTAGGATTAAAATAAATAACAAAAGCCTTCATAAATTTCAACTATCAAATAATTTAAAACAGATACATAGTCTTCTTCTTCAGAATATTTTAATAAATCTGAAGGTGAAAATTCTTCTTCAGAAAACGAACAAATTTAAATATAAAAAAAAGTAACTTTTAAAGGTGATGAAGAATAAGGTGTGATTAAAGACAAATAAAATATATAAAAAAGTTAAGCAAATAAAGAAATAGATATAAAAGTAATAGAAGATAACGATAATGAAAACGATAATGAAAACGATAATGAAAATGATAATAATAATGATAATGATAATGATAATGATAATGATAATGATAATGATAATGATAATGATAATGATAATGATAATGATAATGATAATGATAATGATAATGATAATGATAATAG